GGAATAACCTTTGCTATTTTCATATTATTAGGGAACTGACCAAGTCGAAATGACATGTTAAAAATATGGGTTAATGGTTTGCATATCCCCTCAATTACCCATTTAACAGTTGTCATAGTGATACCATCACTATCACTAGATGTTTTGTTACCACATTTATTCACTATCTCTATAATTTCCTTTTCAACTATGGGCTTCAAAAACATAGAACACATATTCCTTTCAATTGTATTGTTATTTATAGTGACGGATGTATCATCTGTACAAATGCTTCTTGCTAAACCAGGACCAACTTTCACAAAGAACCTATTAAACTTATCTACTACATCCTCCAATTTGTTGACCAGTGTATCATTATCCATAAAATATTGAGGGTAGTTACTCTTGCTGGTACTGTTTCTAATCAATTTATTTAATATATTCCAAGTACCTCTCATGCTATTATTATTATCCTCTAATACTTTAGAATAATATAGTTTCTTACATCTCCTCAGAATCTCAATTAATTTGTTCTTATATGACTTATATTTTTCTTCCGCCTTCTCTGATCTGTCCTTTATGAATTCCTTATATAACACATTCTTCTTTTTACATGCATTGTGTAATCCCTTACTCATCCACGGTCTCCCACTGTAATTCCTCTTGTTTTTATACTGCTTACGAGGACAGTTCCTGTTCAACCTGCCCCAGGAGCTGCTGATACAGTTCTACAGAGGAATCATGGAGTCTGGTTTGGACAAGAACAGACTCCAGCGAACAGTCAGGGCTGCAGAAAGAATCATCAGTGCCAGCCTGCCCTCCATTCTGATTAACAAGGTTAATTTCCTAATATATTGTTATCACAGTGTCAGTGTTACACAGGCAGCAATAGATATGTTGGATGTGATATAAATGTTTAAAGGGTTTGGTGTGAGATTTGTTGAACACGTAAGTGACAACTGAATATGATACCAGAGGTGCAAGGTAACTAAAGGTATTTACTCGGGTCCATTTGTGTGAACAGGTAGTATATATGTTTAATAATTACTCATACAGAATAGTGTCACTACTGCCATTACTCTGAATGATATCACAGGCAGTTATTACAGAATTACTATGTATACAGTGTAAGCCAGATTTGAACATAACAATTGTAAAATAAAGATTAAATAACTCTTCTCTTGTAAAATATACAGTTTATAGCCAAATTAAATACTATTTGGGCCCTTCTGTTAATCCTACTTTATAGTTCTCTGCTTGTTATTGGGCATCTGCGCATCATGATGCTATTTATTTACCACAAGGCCAGAATATTTTCTTAGTAGGATAGAGTTAAAACAAATGTTCATACGTCATGAATAAGTGGCATTTTCAGAATAAACATGCAGGTCTCAGTTGTCCTTGGTCACATTATAACCTTGCCTTGCCCAGTGATCTGATCCGTTTCCTTGTGTGTGTGGATGTGCGCGTGCATGTGTGGAAGCTAGGTGATACCACAGGACTGAAACTACTGACTATGTGGTCTATGTTGTCAGAAATACAGCTTACATTTAAAAATGCCTTGTACCAGGTACAAACACCCTCCACACAGAGAGAAGGACAAATCTTTGTAATGGGAACACATTCATGTTTTTTATTGAGTAAAAGACTGAATACAGCTGGTGTTACTGTTTCTCCCTGTATGTACATCCAAGACGGTGCAGCTGATCTTTCTCAGTGCGCCTGCATGCTCCTGTCTGTCTCTATAGCAACCCGCCTTAGTTACGCAGTCCCCTCTGCTCACCTGTGAGATTCCCAGCTGGGGCTTAATCAACCACTCAAATGTGATAAGGCATATTAGTTCATCAGCAGTTTAGCCACATGCCTACAGAGCAACAATGGACTAGAATACTGTCTGGAACAGATATATTACTAAGATTCATTGTATAAGGACAAAATGTTTGCACATGTTTATTCTGCAATAAATACTGACCACATATATGTTTATATATGTCCAATGTACAGGGATATATCTGATGTGTGGAACTTACAATGTGAACGTACCACATCTGGAGTAAGAAAGAGTACATTTTTAAGAAGTAGAGATAAAATTGCTTTTGTGTATTGTGTGTGGGCACAAGTGAGTATGAAGCTGCTGAACATAAAGGGGTTGTGCATATGTGACATATCGTGTGTTCTTCTCACTCATATACAAACTGTCTTTTAAGAGAGAATATTTATAACTTGCTCTTTCCTGCATGTCTGTGTCCACGAGTTTAAAGCTTCCGGTATCAAAACACAGTCACATTGTGTTGCATGTTGTATTTCAATATATAACATATATTATCATCCAGCTTGTATATTTTTTCATAAAGAGTATAAAACACAGCAGAATATGCGATAGAGGATAGGTAGCATTTATGACGTCCGGATCTGACTGGCAGAGACTGAGTGACCTGACACCATGGTTACACTGAGTCAAAGTCATGGTCGCTGGGCTCAATGACTTCAGGGGTCATGACTCTGCCCATAAAGAGGACGGACCCTGGAAGGAGAAGGGACAAAGAGAAAGTCTGGTTAAAACATACATACATACCCTTGAAAAAAATCCGCGTTTACATGCACAGAGACACACACACACCTGTCCTCCTGTTTCTGATGACAAAGAAGAAAGGGTGATCAGCCATGACCTGGGGGTACAGCACCAGAGTCCTTGTCAGGGCTATCATTCCTAAGAGATGGAAAGAGCTTGACTTTATTTAGCTGTATGAGATCCACTCACACAAAGATAATGTTTTGTATGCAGTAATGTTAAGACTGTTTCTATTTTTATGAGGAAGAATAAAAGACTGCGTCTACCTGACCCGACAGCTCCCTCAGCTCCCTCCTCAGTCACCTCCAGATAGGCCTTCTGCACTGCCTTCCCAATGTACAGGTCCTTACCATCTGAAAAATACACACACAAAAGCACAGAGATCATCATCACCTTGCCTTTGTAATCCATATCAGTCAGTCTGACATGTGAAGCTGAGTGATGCTGAGTCTAATTTGTGAATTCCACTCTCATCATCTGTGTGCCTGGTACACTGTGTGCTGCTATGGAGTATACCCACTTATTAATAAGGCCAGAGCATTTTAAGCTACTCATATAGTGAATCTTCACTTTACAGTATGTTAGTTATATATGTGTAATTTATTTAGTTTTTGTTGCTTAAATGCAAATTATCTGAACATTTCTCTCCATTTGGCTTTCTATATGTATATTTGTCTCTTTTTTCTGATTCTATTTTTACTGGATGACGTGACAGCTCTGACCTGCCCGCTTGACGCCAGTTACCTTGGTTACCTTAGAAAGCACCGGAGGCTACTTCACTGCAGCCAAGAAGCAGAAATATTAAATTAACTTCTTAAGCTGGACCCTTCTAGGGGTTTATGTCTATTACTGTTTGTGCCTAAATCTATGGTTGTGTGTTATATTTCAGTATCTCACACTGTGTGTGTGTCACCTGTCATGGTGGAGAGATCAGCATCATCAGTAAAGATGTTCTTTATTCCCAGCTCCTGCAGAATGTGCTTCAGGTCAATCTTCTGCTCCACTTTGAACCTGAACAGTGCAGTCAGAGTTAAAACAGTCAGTAGTCACATACTTTATGTGTGTTCATAGTATTTATGTTGCATGCATGTGTACTGTGGTTATACTGTATGTCTGTCTGTGTGTGTCCTATAGGTCGATCATATGCTTTGACAGATCTTATCTGTTTGTTTGACCAATGAGAGGTTGTTATGGATTTATTTGTATTGGATTGATGTTGCCTGTCTTGGCCAGGACACTGTTGAAAAAGAGATTTTTAATCTCAATGAGGTCTTCCTGGTTAAATAAAAAAATTAAATAAAATGAAAATATTCTCTTTGTCTTAAATGTTTCTGGTACCCAGCAGATTTTACATGAAGAATCTGTTTTGAGAACCACCATTTTACATCAGCATCAATAAACAAATCATACAGATAGTTCCAATGATGGATGATTAAATTTAATAACAAAATTCAAAATTTATTACTGTTGTTAGCCTTTTTAAGTATTTACCATACAGTGCTTGCTGAGGTAAAGTGGGTACACAAAACAACTTCTGAAGCACAATGGTGTCACATACATGATATACAATAACATGAAGTTATTGTATAGCCGTGTATGAGCATGTGCAAACTGTCCACTCCTTCCAGAAGTGTATACAAGTGTTTGTGCATACAAGTATGAGTATTTGTGTATGCTTGTGTGTTCTTTCACCTAGGGAGATAGACTTCCACCTTCTGCCGTTTAACATTGTTCGCCCACTCCTCCAGCAGTGCTGCTTTGATGATGGGCTCCAGGGAAGCCAGCGGTACCTCCTGCCGAGGTAGAACAATCATCATCGACATGTCCTCTCCCTCGTATGGCATCTCCAGCACCTGATACACACCGCCGGCTTCCTGAGAGCCGTCACTGAATTCACCTAGTGGGGAGACATCATACATTTAAAGACAAGCACACGCATTTGCGGTTGGTATACACAACCTAACCTCCTGTTAAGGGTTTGTGAACACAGTTGTAAGCATGTTGTGCTGCACTGATCAACTGATAATAGTGTGTGTGGTTATTTCCCCAATGGGCTAATTAAAAGCCACTGATGCTTTACTTCAAAGACTGTGGTTACACTCGAGGAGCAATTTGTTAGATACATACTATATATAGTCCCTTAGTACTGAGAGTGTGGTATCAGAAGCCCAACCAATATTCAATTAGGCAGAAAAGGCAGGATATAATATTATGTAATACTCTTTTTATGCACACACAAATACACCCACCCACACACATTCAGAGAGAAATGCACACAGGCAAACATCTGTAAGAGCTCATACACTACAAAGGGAAAGAAGTACTATCTCTATGGCCTTGGGGTGAATCTGTTAACAGACTCTAATTAAACAACACCCACAGATAAAGGTTCTAATCAAGACAAGCAGGTAACATTTACTTGAATTAATTGAGACTGACAATCTCAGAATGAGATAATCTTTTTATACTCAAAACAAATCCAACTGGATTTTGAGTCTAAATATAAGATTATCCCACTTAGGTTTTTGCAGTGTGAGATGGAGATGACAGAGCATTTAACACCGCTAGAATTTATCCCACCCTTTGCGCACGGTTTTTCTTTTGAAGCTGCTTAAAAGGGGAAGATTACAACAAAAAGACTGGTCGTCCTTCATTTAGTTGGCATTCTGTGTAGCAGCTGCTGATGCAGAGAGAGGAAACGCTGCAGCAGAGCACAGGGTGTGGCTTCCCGAAACATTTCATACTTAACCAAAATGACTGTGCTTCAAAAAGAAGAAGGAAATGCAGCATCCTCCCCAAGGACCTGTCCTTGTTCTGCAGCTCTCAAACACACACACACACACCAGTTCACGCATACATATGATCCTGAGTGTGTGAGGACGCGTATGTGTGCACAGAGGTGTATGCAAGTGTGCAATCTCACTACACACATACACACTGCACCAAAACACCTCATGTGCACCAACTTTAGTAGCAGAGCAGTAAGAATCTGATGTAACCATCTTTGGCAGTGTGTCAGACAAAAAGTGATTAGATGCAAAAGGCTGGAATCAATCAGATGTAACAGCATAACAACCAACCTGCAGGACTCTGTGCTAACAGTCTTGTACCTCCCAGTCTGACACACATAACGCAGCCAGCTCATGACACTGTAGAGAAAACCTTGTCTGAAACTTTTACAGAGCACCGATTCAGAAAGTAAACCCACAACAGATTAGTTGATCAACAGAAAATTAACAATTTGGATATGTGAGTAAGGCGTTTACTGAGCTAAAATGAAAAAAAAATAAAATCTAGTTACTGTGGTTGTTTTATATTGATTTTATTGTAAAGTGAATCAAAAATAATCGACAGGTTAATTAGTAATGAAAATTGTTGCTGCAAGCCTATATAAAAAAAATGGTTTGTTATATTTTCTGTAAGTTGACCTGTTGAAAGGTGTTTTTTTCTTTCCAGCAAAATATATCAGAAGAAAGACAGCGTCGCTCAGTAGTCATGTAGTACTGTCAAAGTACTACATGACTTAACATAGACTATGACTGCACTGCTAATACTGTGTGACTTTAACAAAATATACTACTAATCCAAACAGACATACGACAGGAGTCTGTGCAAGTGAGGAGGATTTCAGAAAAGAGGGGCCTGTTCTGGGAATAACACTCCAAATATTAATAGTTTAGATCTAGGATTAACATTTTAAATAACCTCAGAGCTGAAATTCAAGGGCTCCTGAAAAAGCACCACAAGTATCATTCTTACACACACACACACACACACACACACACACACACACACACACATACAAGCACAGAGACACACACAGCTGATTCCTACCATAGTAGAAGTCTCCCTGTTGGTACATCATGAGCGTCTGAACTTCAGAGCCATCGTCTTTGCTGAAGGAGAAGGTTCTGGTGTTCTCGGGTCTAAACTGGTTTTTCCAGGAGCCTCTGAAGTAAACGGCATTCACCAGGGTCAGGCGTGTCACACTGCTGAAGTCCTTGGCTGATAGCAGCCCACAAATCTTACCTATAGGGAATAATTTATACAGTTTATTAGGCCCTCTGTGAGGGAGCCTAAGGGTGGTGCCTGCTGTGATGCAGCTTTTGAAGCTGTACAGATGTTTGTGGAAATGAGGCTTGGAAATGTATGTATTTTGTTTTTGTATGACATGATGTACAAAAGTAACGTCTTTGACAACGCTGCATGTCACTTTACAGTATGTGAAGACTGTAGATGTAATTATATTTGCATATGACTGCCCTCCTTTCCTTTGCTTTCCTCCCTTCCTCTCTAGAACTCACTCTCGGTATGATTTTCCACCCAGCTGTTGATCTGCTCGGCCACGGCTGCTGATTCACTGAAGTCGACCGTTTCCACGTCAGCCTGGAAGTACTTCCTCATCAGATGTAGGAACTCAGGGTTAAAGGTGACACCTTCCTGCAGGAAGAGACTGTTGGCAAATCGGATCATGTAGTGGGTGTCATCGTCCAACAAGGTCGCTGTCACGTTCCGGAGCAACGAGAACTCGGCGCCTAGAGAACAGGGGGAGACACACACACACACACATTCATAATGAAGGTGTGTATTCAAAGTTCAGCGCTGTGGACAAAATGTCACCTCTGCTGTGCTACAAGGTAGTTTTAAATATTTAAACACTCTAAGATCCATCCATTGTTTTTTTTTAACAATAGTACAGCAACACAAAAATTCTAATTCTATGTATAAACAGTACAAATAAATGAGAAACAGGGCTCATACTGTAAGTTCCCCTTTTAATGTTATGTATCATTCACTAATATTTTATATCATGTTCAAATATACAAATCAGAATCTTACTAAAATTGCATTTATCATTTTATTCCAGTGTCCTCTTACTGGTATTTTTTTACAAAACACCTTTCTTGTGTCGTTCACCCTTGTGTTTCCAGGTTCAGGGAAACTCCTGGTCATAAAAACAAGTAAGAGGAGCGGGGACAAAACGTCCAGGATCAACATCGCAACACAGAGCACTGAGTGTTCACAGGCTCAGAAATACTCCTCGTGGCGATTAAACTTCATGAAGTAATGGAAAAATACACTTGCATTTCCTCTTGGCAAATACTTTCTTCCTTCACTCACTAATGTTCCTGATCAGAGATGTAACTAAGTACATTTATTCAAGTACAATTTTATGGTATCTGTGCTTTATTTGAGTATTTTCATTTTCTGCTACTTCGGCTTCACTACATTTCAGAGAAAAATATTGTTTTGCAAATAAGATTTATAGAACAAAATACAATATAATCATAAGGCTTTATTGATCCTCTGTGTAAAATTCTCAAGCTGCCTAGCAGTGCTATGAGTACTTTTACCTTTGGTACTTTAAGTATATTTTTCTCCAAATACTTCTGTACTTTACTTAAGTAACATTTACAATACAGGACATTTACTTGTAACAAAGTATTTTTACAACATGGTGTTCCTACTTTTCTTTAAGTATCTGGGTACTTGTTTCAACACTGTTCCTGAAACCGGTGAACCTGTGTCTCTCTCACCAGGCAGTAGGTGGCTGAATCCTACAGCCTGTCGTATCTCCTCCAGCGATGCTCCCCTGGCTCCCAGCTCCACCATGCCCAGGGCTACAGTAACACTCAGTGGGGAGAAGATGATGTTGTCCTGACCCCCTGCTGCCTGCAGCCGGTGGTACAGTCTGACCGAGAACTCTGATGTAGTGTCCTCCGGAATGTCAGCCGCCCGGCAACCGTAGCCCGGCAACAGGATGGAGAGGAGGAGGAGCGGGGACAAAACGTCCAGGATCAACATCGCAACACAGAGCACTGAGTGCAAGAGGTGACATGTGGAGCGGAAATGGTTGGATGGGCAGAAATATAATGTGATGATGGAGGGGGGAAATGAGAATGGCAGGTGAATGAAGGAGTAAAAATATGTTTGGAGGAAAGAGAAAGGGTTAAGGAACAGGAAATGAATGATTGGAGAGATGGAAGGGAGGGGAAGGTGGGAGATGAGTGTGGAAGGAAGTATAACATGAGGATGGAGGAAAAAGAGATGCAAGAGAGAAAATGATTTGGGGATGAACCAGAGCCAAAAAAGGGAGAGGAGGATTGAGGAGGAGGATGAGGAGGAGAGAGAGATAAAGGCAGAGAAGATCATTGCATAAGAGAAAAAAGGAGTTGAAGGATGAGGATTTTAGAAAGAAGAGAAACAAAGTGAAAGTAGACAAAGCAGGGATATGGGATGATAAGAAGAGAGCAGACGGCCACAGAGAGACAGAGACAGAGAGAACATGTCAGTTGATTGTTTTGACAAAATAAAAAATGCATTAATAAAATAGAGCCTGTAACAATTATCCTACTTTTACCAGAAGTATACATGTGAATCCAAAGGGGATTCTATTCTGTATTCTGTATTCTATACAAAGACCTTGTTAAGTACTAGAAAACTGTTTAAGTAGAAAACAAATTTACGGGTGCAAGTGAATTCTGGGAAGAAACAGAATAAAAAAGAAAGAAACAAACAAAAAAGGTGAAGCACACACATGAATATACCACCAGCAAGAGTTAAATATGTGCACAGTTGTAGAAATAAAAAGCACAGTGAGGTGGAGAGGAAGAACAAGACGCAGCATGAGAGTATACACAGTAACTACTGCACAGCTGTACTGCTGGCTGCAGTCAGCGTTGCTGTTCAGAGCACATCTGCTAAATGAGCTCATGCATATTTCATGACCATTCTTATCATCTTGAGTTAAAGCGGCTTCTTTACTGCAAAATCTGCCTAGCTCTGTGTGTGTGTGTGTGTGTGTTTGTGTGAGCCTTTATATGTGAATGTCACCTTCTTTTTCATCTCCCTATCTTCAGCAACCTCCTCCTCCCTCTCCAATCGCTACTTTCCTACCTTTTTTGTCTCCTTAACCCTCTTTATACTTTTTAAATTGACAAGGGATGTACACACACTGCACCATCCCTCTGGTGCTGTTGTCAAGTGATAACTATTGAGGACAGACAGAGTCACAGATATTTCTTTTGTTGTTTGTCTCTCTGCTGCACTGTTCTCATTATACAGTTTTTATAAAAGGATTCAATTAGCAGTCCCATGCAGGGCTGGAAACTGCTGGTTGCTACTGTACATTACGTGTGAGATGGCAAGTGACTGTGGCGACAATGTACCTGGTTGTCAATAACATTAACAATGGCCAGTAGCCAGAAAGTGCCCCATCCTGCTTTGTCCTGTCCTTTGCTTTGCTCTGGCATGCAGCAAACTATTTACTTTCCCAGAATAAACTTGTCCAACTGGAGGGATAAATATATATAATTTACAAGTTTAATAATGAGGTTTAATTAATAATCTGAAGATTTACATCTTCAGTAGGAGCAAATGGGGCTGAGTGTTAAAAGTGCATCGGGAAGTCAGACACTGTTGAGAGACAGACTAACACAGTGTAGGTTTTGATGGGATTTATTGACAATAACAAAACAAATTGATTACTCCTAAAGCAATGCCTCCTGAATGAAAAGGAAGAGTGAATGCATTTTACAATTAAGTGCCACTGTTATAAACTCTTAAATGTGATTCCTCCTTCTCCTGCAATCCACACATCACCACACATCACTCCTGACAGTCAACATCTTATCTTATTTGTTCTCCATCTCTCAATACTCTGACAAACTACTTTTGACAAGCGTGGCACTGACCAAACTAAGACTGGTTACCTTCTTCTCATTTGTTGTGAACCAATCCATTGGGGGAGGGATCTTTCTGTGAGCTGATCTCAAAATTTTCTGCTTCAGTTGGAACAAATGGGCCGAGAACAAGAGACAGGGAAGTCAGAAAGTACTGAGAGACAGACTAATGATGTTGGTGTCATGAGATTTGTTGGTAGTAACAAAAACAGAGAAAATACAGTCTTAATGTTCTGTGTGCCCATTTATCACATCCAAAAAGTGCCCAAAAAGGAAATGAGAGTAGAAGAAACTGAATTAAACTGTTTGATAGAAATGCTGTAAGATATTTAATCTGATTATATACAGTATATTATGTTACATTGACTCATTCAGTAGGAGGATGGTGCATCGAGCTGGCATGCACAGAAATTGTGGTTAAAGCCTCAGAAACAGTCTAGTTGCATTAATAATGTGCAACTTTTAAACAGGAAAATCATTTGAGGGAACAAGCCTGATGTACTGCAGTTAATATACTGTTTGTCACATGCGTTCACCTGCTCTCACATGCTGCGTTGTGAGTCAGACATTGTAGAGAGTGTGTGAGAGAGCTCCAGAGAGAATAAGAAAGGCCGAGGGAAATGAGGGGGCGGCTGGCACAGATGTAAATGCAGGTAATGTTCCCGACCTTCTGAGCTGTGGGAGCTGAACTTTTCTGGGACAGACAGTCCCGCTTTCTGTAAGGAAAGACCCAGCCATGCAGTTAAGCCAGGGAAAGTCGTGTAGCCCATCACTGTGTGTCCACCTGTGTGTGTCTGTGTGCAAGTGTGAATGTGTGAGCGGGCAATAACACCATGGGTGGCTGGCTTTTACTTGTAACAGTGACACCATTCTGACCTTTTGAGTTGTGGCACGTTGTCTGCAAGAGGATCCCACACTTTGTCAGTCTGGCCATTGATGACAATGAACCCAACTCTGGCCCCAGCATGCCTCCCAGGTAAGTAGAGAAATCCAACACCTAAATGTACACCTAAATAAAATGTTTTCTCGTGACTAAATAAACTGAATATGTTGAAAAATCTCTCATGGTTTAAGTTGCAAGAGTGTAATCCTGACAACTTGACTAATTTCGTGCAATTAAACTTACTGGCCTTTAAAAGCAGCCTTTAATATCTGTGGGTAATTCTAAGACAGAATAGAGCAGCAGCTGACATTTTGACAATTAAAACGTGACGTCAACCAAATCCACAGCACGTACGTTAATCCTTACCGCCATTTAAATGCAACACCTTGAGAGAGCATGCTTCAGTAGCCAGGGGAATTTATCACACATGAACATCCTCATTCATGGTTTAAATCCACAGGTTCACACACACACACACACACACACACACACACACACTTTGAAGTACACTTTTCCACATACACCTCCAAGCCAAGGTTACCAAGGAAACCTCAGGTGATGGGCATTTTCATGAGCTGACAGAAAGGATTTTTACCCTAAAGGATAACTTCTTCCTTCCATACACGTAGAAAGATAAACTCTCTTTCCCCCTTTTTTATACACAATACTCAGCATTTTCTGTCCTACATAACTCTGACTGCAAACTCTCTTCACACCAGCTCTGGTTTGTCTCCTAATGCACTCTCTGACACTGCCAGGTACAAACACATGCATGTTTCCTATAGAGTGCTATAGTAGTGAGTTCTAAAACCTGGAACTGAGTTAGCATTTTTGCACTTCAGGTCCCCTCACCATGAAGTCTGTTTTTTTTAATGGGTCTTTGGTTAGAAGCCTGAAATAAGTTTCATATTTAGTTCTACTACGTCAGTAAATACCCCACTTGTGGTTTTCAATGCTTTTACGTGTCTTAAAAAGGTGGTTGCTAACAAGTGGGTAAATGAGGCTACAGACACTGTCTGGGATATTAAACGTCATCATGCTGAACATGGGGACTCATCTGTTCACTAGTCCGCCTTTACAGGCTCATCACATTTAAACTCACGCATTTACAAACTATTCTGATGGACCCAGCCATGATCACTAGATCAGGTCACGCTGAGACAAAAGGATTTTGTAGAACAGGAAAGTGAGCTAAATCAAATTACAAGTTGGAAGCCGTGGTGGTGATGTTGAAGTTGTGGGACCATGGTGTAGTTAGCCTAACAACAGCTTTTCACTTTGCATTTGGGCTTCAAAATTCATAAACAGGGTGATGCTATCTTCTGGGCTGGCTTACTAAAAAAAACATTATCCCTACAACACCCTATAGACATACATGCAGTACATTGGCTGCACTCAGTAAATTTGCAAAAGCAAAGCAAGCTCTTGCTCTCCTTGATTCCTTTGGAAGTGTCAACTACAACACGGCAGCAACAGTATCTTTTTCAGCTCACATCACAGTACACTGATTCATTTAGCCTCTAAGTGCACTTCCAAAATGCGGAAGCTAATAGGCATTTTGACGAATTCTGTGAAAGTACTAACATCCTGTTTCATCAAGACCTATCCCTCTGGGAATAAACGGTAGAGAATGATGACTAAGATTATCTATGGCCTAGAAACACTCTGAACGTCTGTGATGGTTACTCCGTTAAAACAGCAGTGTAATCTGGCACGAGTTCAAAATGAGTATGTCTGACTTCTACAGGGCTTTGCAGTACAGAGATAATGGAGTGTGATTATCATTCATGAGTTTTCCTTGGAAGCACTGTAGCATCCGCTTTCTTATTGTGGTCTTGAATTGAGTAGAAGGGAAGGGGACACATGCACTCTCACACTGAAATGATCAAACCTACACAAAGCATTAAAATATCTCTGAGTTTTTCACTTTCCCAGTTTGATTAGACACCTGTTTCTCACCTTTCGCTCCCCTGCTGACATGGAGCTTCTCAAGGCAGAGCAGAAAATTAACACAGGGAAGCTGCAATAAAGCCCACCACCAGGGTAGAGCCTTTAACTCGGAATTAAACTCCTATGACAGATCGGGACTCCCGTTACTGTGCACAATAAAGTGGATCCAAGTGGATATGGTAGCTCCTATGCAAATGCAGCTACATGCATAGTAAATGGCTAGTAGTGTATCTCATCTAGAAGCAAATTTTGGTCCCCGGTCACACTACTGTCCATGTGCATCTCAATATCATAACCATCTGAC